GCAGTTTCATGCGTTCCTTGACGTTCAAATTGAACCGTGTGCCAGCATCAGACGACGACAAAGGAGCTATGCTGTCGGCGCAAATTTCCTCGAGCCCGAGACGCGTTTTAGAGAAATACATTGGTCGCTTTTGCCACTCGCGTGTTCCTCGTGTACGCGAAACGATCGTAATTTCAACTGGCAGCTGTTCGGCTTGACGGGTTTCAACGCGAGACACGAAACACCCTTAAATCAAGGTCCTGCCTAAACACGACCATGTGAATAGTTCATTCTCGCCTGCCTCGAAATAGAGAATGCTTCTCTTATGAAATTTACTTAACGAGACTGTAATTATCGACGCTCCTACTGATTTCCATTTTACAATTCGAGTGTTTACTATTAAATAGTAAATGCATTTTGTATTAAATAAAGGGTATTTTTATGTTGGCATGTTTGAAGGTGTACAAAAATATTTTGAACGTTTAAATAATTTTGTATTATTTCAAAGTTGTAATAAAAGTACCTCGATGACAATGCACAAGGTCTGGTTGAACATAACCTAAACGTAAGCTGAATACCTGCTTCGGTGCAGAAAGTAGTATGCAATTTTAATGGTACCAAAGGACTGAAACATTATGAAGAGTGCTTTTGTTTCAAGACCATTCTTTTGAAGTATTTGAAGCTATTTTATACTGAGACATTTACAGTCTTATGTTTAAATTATATTCTTCTGGCATATTTAATAGACGCTGACATCTTTGCAATGTCATCAACTTGATAATATTCTGAACCTGTACGAATGTAGCCAGTTTGATGATATTATTAGCATGAACAATTAATCAGACCCAATATTAACCACACAATACAAACAATTATTCTTAATATGCTTAGAGGTAAAATTTCAAATGAATGCACTTATGGTCACATATGACTAAAGCAATTAATCGACAAAACGAGGTGAAACAGTAGACAAGCGCAAACAAAGCAAGTTTTCAGTTATCTTACCGAAGAGCGGTGCAATTATTACGGGCTGGCCTTGTAGTAGCCCTTGTGCACCCTTCAGGATGGACGAAGGGCTCTATGCACGGGGATTCATTCGAAGACCCATAGAATTAGTACGGGGACTTCCGGGACGTCATTTAAAGTACAGAACCGCCGTGATAAGCCCACTCTATATGCAGAGATTCCGTTAAATTGCAAACGCCCATTTTCCAGCGAAGGGAGGTGAACGAGAGAGAACAAGGGTAAGGTCCCGGTTCGCGTCGCCCTCGAGTAATCAGACGGTTAACTCGATCCTAGGAACGTTTACGGGACGACAGCTCGAGCCGATTTTCTTATGCCCCGGAGAAAAGCTCTACGATCCTCTTCATCTATCTCCTTTCTCTACGTTTCTCTTCTACCTCCTCGGGGAATGTTAATTTCAACGGGAACGAATTTATTCGATTTACCGGCGAAGGATTAGATCTTGCTTGATGAACCGGTAACGATGCTACCTGATCGATCTACTTATCGATTGGAAAGGAACAACAGTACTTAGTCCACCTGACGGAAAACACCTGAACCATATCGTTCCATTCATATTAACCCTTTGTAGTCTTAGGTCTTTTGCTGTCGCTACTAAAAATTCTTAATTAGTTATTGTTTGAGAAGTTGTTTCTTTTTTATTATATCGCTGTTTATTCAGTAAATGTATCATTAAAATTTACTGTGACAAACTGTCTATTTATTAGCTAACCTTCAGTATTATTTCTTAAGACTGATCTCATATCTTGATCATCAGATAGGAAGATGTAAATCACTGTACGAAAAGTATAAATACACGTGTGCAGTGTACAGTAATTATGAAGATGTCTATTGATGATTGTAAAAAGTTATGAAGATAGATGTTGATTGCACAGAAATCATGGAGATATACATTGTACTGAAATGAAGACAACTATTGATTGAACAAAAACTACGTAGATAAGCATCAAACAATTAAAAATGTCAAGCTAAATTTAATATATCCAATCTGTTCACCTTCTCTACACGAACCTCTACATAAGAATTCTTCCAGATTTGAATTATTGGATTACAAATCACTCGAACAAATTGTACGTAGTCCCACAAGGAAACAGCCTGCATATATATTTGTAATTAACGAGTACACGGGTTTTCAAATGCATATTCATGAAAAAAAGGAAAGGAAAGGAAACGTACAGATGTATGTATGTCGCGTAAGAATTACAGCTAGGGAAGCCGAGCCCTAAATCTTTACTTGTTTGTTCTGGCTTGGCAGGTTCATAATTATTCACGACGCAGCGTGCGCCATTAATTCAAGGGAAACCAATACTTTCCCGATAATGTCAACCATGGTCATTCTAGAAGCCCTTTAATACAGATTTACAAGTGTACAGGAGTCGACAAGGAAATCCACCCTCGCTTTTATATGGGGTGTAATTTATTCCTGAAAAAATTGTCTACTATGACTTTCGTGTTGTACTATCACAAAGCTATTTATTACTATCAATTAAATATTGTTTTAATACTATACATATTGGTGTAACAATTCACATACAACATGTGTGTGATGCTACCAAAGGTTATTGACCGGTACACTTTATGTGATGATTAAACATAGGTGATAGCTTTAATAATTATTGTACAAACGTGAAATATTAAATTCGTTGTATTAAATATGTTGGTTTTATATGTATGCCCATACATGTTGAATCATTTCGTGAATTTACATGAAGTTTCTTTAAATTAATTCTTCAAAAATATTGCTGACCTCAGGTGACATTTAACTGCATAGACGTGCGGCCATTATTTATGACATTATTGGTTGTGGATTAAAATAGAATATTAGTGATATTTGCTAGTAAGCGACTAATAATATGCTAGGTGCATTGAAATATTCTATAAATTAATACATGAGCTCCAGAGTTATAAAAGTGCATTATTTTCCAATAAAGTGCCAGTAAAAATTGTTCACAAAATAAATGGTAATGATAAATGAATAATGATACACCCGGTATAAGTTTGGTTCGTTCGCGACAAACAATAGCCAGGCGTACTCGTGGATCGGGTTGGAGTACTAAAACGTGGACTCGGCGAGGGTTTAGAAAGGGTGAATTGCAGCTACGTGCCCCCGCATACGAATCATCCCCCGCGCCCTCTGAAATGCCGTTGGCTGCCTCGAGGACCCCTGAAACCGTCGGCGTCGCCTCGAATCTAATGGATTGCACCGATACTTATGGTCAAATCGCGACCAACAACCCTTGGAGACCAACGCCGCTCATTACCATTCCGCTTGGATTGCTTCAATGAGCGCTTTTGATAAGCAGAAACGTTCTGGCGAAGACGTAAATTAGGCGCCGCGAAAATTATTACGGTTGCTAAGTGAAAAAGAATTTTCTTTGAGAGACGTGACTTGCCGCTTCATAGAAAGTTTTACTTTACATAATTAAATGTTCGCATTTGGGTAGAAACATTATCAATTTTTAGGCGAGCTTGTTCAACGATCTAGCGATGGGTATGAGTGCAAAATTTTATGTCGTGAATGTACTTTGCTGTTGTAATTGAATTTGTGGACTTTATATACTTTATATACAAGTTTTGTATTTTTAGGTGAGTTGTATAAAGCTGATAGTTTAAGTTGATAGCTTCTGAGATTGAAAAGTTTTGACAATTGCAAAGTTAGAAAAATGTGATTGAGACATTTAGCTATTGGAGAGTTGGGTAATTTGAAAGTTTAGCAATTCACAAACTTGGTAACTGAGAAATTTAGCAATTCACAAATTTGGTAACTGAGGAATTTACCCTCTGTAGAATTTAATAATTGAAAAATGCAATCCCTTATCTGACCATTCAAAATTTTGATAACCAACAAGTCCTGCAATTCGAAAGCCCAGAAATTTTCCCCTGATCCTTTGCGTCCAAACCGAATAACCTTTGCTTATAAACCGAATCGAGCTTCAAAAACAGTATTTTGGTAATCTGTAGGTAAGCCAAGGTTTCGCAAGTCCGACAGTGTTATCTTAGGCAACAGTTGAGCAGTTGGCCAGCGATTCGATTCCGAATCGCGTATAGATCGAAAGCTTAAGGTCGACCGTTTCTCAATTAACTTACTCGGCCGCAAACGCAAACGGAACCATGAACTTTGCCTGTAACTTTCAACAGGATATTCCCCGTAATTCCTGTTGCTCGAGTTTTAAGCTGCCTTAACAGAGGCTTAAAGTTTCCGGTGAGATCGTGCTTTACGTGTACTTAGAGATTACGAGGACGCGGATGGCCGATTCTGGTTCTGGAAACCGAGAAATATCACGCGTACCTGTTTCGATCTGGATTCCGTTGTTTACCTGTTGTCTGAGGGGACAAGAATTATGGGAGGGTTTGGTTAAACGTTTCTGTTCACTTCGGTTTCGATTTCTATTTGTATTTAAAGGTAAGGTAGGCAGGATGAAGGAATTCGCAGGATGAAGGGAAACGTTTGTTGCAGTTGTATTGATGAAGCATTGTGATCTTGTATCGTCATAACCTAGTTTAGTATCTAAAATCTAAAACCTAGTTTACTATTACAATCTTGTGTTGTTTATTAAGTTAACTTCTTAACTATTAAGTTAACTGCAAAATTTAGTTGTAAAATACTTCATGAGATACGCAATTAAAATTTAACAATAATACACCTGCCAACAACCTAAGACATATGCTCCCACTATAAATTTTACGAAAAATAAGAAAGGATTACATTTCTATTTTTTAACTTAAAAAATTAATAATTCATCTGCGTTAACGAAATGAAGTTTTAAACTGCCATGTACATACATAGAACATAGTTAACTTTAATTAATAAATGATTTTACTGTTTAAACAAGATTTCGCCTTTTTAATTTTTCAGCCAGAATTAAGAAATGCCTGTGACATGCTACGATGCGACATGTCTAACGATATTTGCCTTGGTCTTTGTTTTCGTTGCGCTGTATATAAAATTGCTAAATTCGTTAGAGCAGTTGTTGAAAGAGAATTGTTTGCTGTTGCAGGAGAGTTTGGAGGAGCGAGTGCAAGAGTTGGAGCAAGCGTTGCAGGCAGAACGCTTCGCTGCACAACGAGATCGAGCGACGATCACGAAACTGCAACGACAGATCAACAAGGTAAGTTGAATTAAGAAATATTTCTATCGCAGATAATAATAACAATAATATAATATATATATAATATTTTTGTCAATATTTAATATTTTTCATATATTCAATGAAATATTCAATATTTTTAAAAATATTATATATAACATTTTATATTATATTTTGTATACATATAATAATATATTATGTGTTTTATATATCTTTAATAATATTTTTGAATGAATTGAACTTAAATAAAATTAGCAACGTATAATAATATTATGAAGAATTGAATCTAAATAAAAGTAAAACAGAAATACAATTATTTCTAATAAATTTTGATCAGACATTTAATTATTAATATTTCAAGTACCAATAATTAGAATCATGCAATATAATTTTGAAACGATATATGAACAAAGAATGATTAATGTTATCAGAATAAAAGCATATGACATGTATTTATTAACCCATAACAGAAGATTAATTATGAAATAAAAATTTCCAATAAATAATGACTCCCTCGACACAAAAAAGTATTATAAAAGCAAATAAATTTTCGTGACCATTTATTCCGGACGATCCCGTATACAAGATTTTAATTCGAAATTGTGGTAGGAATCGCGACAGCGGAAGAAAAGTAATATACAACCAGAGTTCGCGTTGCTCTGTTTCTGACATGTTAGGCCCTCTTCCAACACCCCGCGTTTACAGGCTTATAAAATATCCTGACAAACACAACCGCCGCTAAATGGGGGATTTAACTGAATATATGACGGAGGATTGGAGATTTGGGAATCTGGGATTTTGGGAGATAGAGACATTTTTAAATTTTGTAATTTGGGGATTTGGGTGGTGGTGATTTAGATTGGGGTGAATTAGAGATATGAAAGGTTGGAAATTTGGGGATTTAGGAGGTTGGGAATTTTTGGAAATTTGGGGAGTTAGGAGGTTGGAAGTTTTGGGAAATTTGGAAATTTAGAAGGTTGGGAATTTTTGGAATTTTGGGGATTTTGGAGATTGTGAATTTTTGGAAATTTAGGAGGTTGGGAATTTTTGAAATTTTGGGGATTTTGGAGATTGTAAATTTTTGGAAATTTAGGAGGTTGGGAATTTTTGGAAATTTGGGGATTTTGGAGATTGTGAATTTTTGGAAATTTGGGAATTTAGGATGTTGGAAATTTTTGGAAATTTGGAGATTTTGGAGATTTTGAATTTTTGGAAATTTGGGAATATAGGAGATTGTGAATTTTTGGAAATTTGGGGATTTTGGAGATTGTGAATTTTTGGAAATTTGGGAATTTAGGAGGTTGGGAATTTTTGGAAATTTGGGGAGTTAGGAGGTTGGAAGTTTTGGGAAATTTGGAAATTTAGGGGGTTGGGAATTTTTGGAATTTTGGGGATTTTGGAGATTGGGAATTTTTGGAGATTTGGGAATTTAGAAGATTGGGAATTTTTGGACATTTGGAAATTTAGAAGGTTGGGAATTTTTGGAAGTTTGGGGAGTTAAGGGGTTGGGAATTTTGAAAAATTTGGGAATTTTGGAAATTTGGGGATTTAGAAGGTTGGAAATTTTAGGATTTAAGAATTTGAGAATTAGGATGTAAGAAATAGGAAATTTAAGAATTGGGGATGTAAGAGATAGGAAATTTAGGAATTGGAGATATGAAAAACAGAAATATAATACACTCAACCAACACTTAAAAAAATAAAAGATATCTCCTGTAATTTAAATAAAATATAATAAATTACCAACTATAAAAATATGACAATCAAAACTTGTAAAAAGATAAAAATTCTCATTCCTACAATTTCTTCCTTGCTATCAGAAGGTCTTACCACCAAGACCGACAAAAAAGAAAGAAGAAACTTCAATGAAGTCCTATCGCGACTGTTCGTAAAGTTTCTTACAACCTTCTAGGGAATTTCATTGAACTTATTTGAATTTTTAGCTGTCTTACAAAGATACGGTATAAGTAACAGCGCATAACTTTCAAACAATTTTCAACGATAAATAACAGCCAACTTATACGAAGCTACTTCTCAAGTGAGTTTACATTTTAAGCTTCTTGAAGACCCTTGAAAAAAAACAATTGAGTTAAAACTACTTGTTCCCCCCTTTGATAACATCTTCAGTCTCTTGTCTGTCGTAATGTTATTTCGAAACCTTTTCTCTTTTCTTATGCGGTGTCATTTGTTGACTTTGATTGCTTTTTATTATTTTGAATCCTTGGACGATCATATTGAGAAAGAAAGAATTAAAGAATACATTAAAGAAAGAATTTTTTTATCATTTTTTGTTGCATTCGAAAGGGGATACATTTTTGTGATGTATTTAAAAAATTGTTCATTTTTTGTGTTGGATTAAAAAAAGGATTCAATTTGAATTTACACTAAAAAGACAGTTCATTTTTTATGGTGCATTAAAAAAGGATTGATTTATGTGTTTTATTAAAAATAGTGTTCATTTTTTAAGTTGCATTAAAAAAAGGATTCATTTATGTGTTGCCTTAAAGAAATGTTTCATTTTTATGCTGCATTAAAAAGAAGTTCATTTTTGTAGAATTAAAAAGAGTGTTCATTTTTCTGTCAAATAAAAAAAATATTCATTTCGTGTTGCATTAAAAAAATTGTACATTTTTGTGTTGCATCAAAAAGAAGTTGATTTTTAAGTCTCACTAAAAAGAAGTTCATTTTTTGTAGCATTAAAAAGAGTGTTCATTTTTCTGTCACATAAAAAACAGTCCATTTTCGAGTTGCATTAAAAAAGAGACTTCATCTTTGTACCGCCTTAAAAAAACCATTGCTGTAAAACGACGAATGGAATCCATAACCCGTGTAAGTTATTTTAACGCCACTCGAACAACATGTGAACCGTACACTAAGTGATCGTCGAGAAAATAACCTATTATTTGTAACGAAAGCAGGGCTGGCAAGATAAAATTGCCTGGGGTGGAGATCACAAGGGGTCAGATCAGATGAAAGGGTTATTCAATTATAATTTCGTGCCCTTGTAGCTATCGTTGCATCTATATTGTTGCAATCTATACTATCTTTACATGCAACGTTCAAAGTAAAACGTGTAATAAACGTTTTGATATCTTTTTACTATTTATAGAGGTTTTTGCATTTTTATTATTGCAGTTTGCACTATCTATTCTTCTTGTATAACGTTCAAAGATAACACTAACGATCAAACACAAAATGTTTAAATATCTCAATTTCTCGAGTGTCATACTTTTTACATTTTAAAACAGCAGTCTTCAAAAATTCTAAAGTGCATCAATTTTTCAAGTGTACAATACCAAAAATATACTCAAGTGTACGTTCAAAGATGACACTAATGATCAAACACAAAAAATATTTAAATATCTCAATTTCTCAAGTGCCACACTTTGTACATTTTAAAACAGCCATCTTGAAAAATTCTGAAGTGCATCAATTTCTCAAATAAACAGTACCAAAAATGTACTCAAATGTACAACGTCCCAAATTTATTATCTTCTACTTAAATTACTCTCAAACATGCAATTTGAATATATAAAAATTAATTTAAAAACTTGAATATTTAAAACCATATAAATCACTAAATTAAAAAAATCTACAAATAAAAATAAAAATTGAGTTTAATAAAACCAGCACGTAACCCCTAATTAAATTACCAAATCACACGAGGTGAATATTTAAAAATTACTTTAAAAACTTGAATATTTAAAACCATATAAATCACTAAATTAAAAAATCTACAAATAAAAATAAAAATTGAGTTTAATAAAACCAGCACGTAACCCCTAATTAAATCACCGAATCACACGAGGTAACGTTTCACGCCAGTAACCGTGAGAATCCTCTTATCTATGCACTTTTGCAGTATCATTATTCCGAAACACTGGCTGCGAATGCTAATGCCATTGAAGCTATTAGTAAGCGTCAGTGTTAAACAATCAACAACTCGAACAATTGTGCAGCCTTGAATATGAATTGCCCCGTCTTCGTGAACTTCGCAGACATCGGAACTTCCTTCCCTTTCGTTCTTCTTTGTTCCCCGTTGATTGCGTCCTATGAATTTCGCTGGCAAGCTCGAAACAGCTCCTTTTTTATCCGACAAAATACAATAAAGTCCCTGTGCAGATTCAAAATTCGACTCCTTTGTGAATTTCACGAGTAGAAAACGTAGAAAAAAAGACAAAGACCGTTTCTTCGCCGAATTAACGGTCCGTGAAAGTGAAATGAATACGCTGGTCAGAGAGGGCGCAGCCCTTCAGAGAATACCGATATTGTTCTGCGTGGATTCTTGGGAAAATGGTAATGCAACGATATTACCCATTATGTGCAACGGTTGACGTAGTGAAGTTTTTTTCTGTTGGTAAAAGTCACGAAGGAAGATTTTAGAAAATTGTTTTTATGGACTCGTGTAGTTGTGATGGAATTTATTTTTATATTCGTTTACGTAAATTCATTTTGGGGGAGTATTTAGGGAACTATATTAGGAAATTTGGGAATGTTGCAAATTGGGGATGTGGGAAATTAGGCATGTAGAAATTTGGGTATGTGGAAATTTGGGGGTGTGAGAATTCGGGGACATGGGAATTTGGGGGTGTGAAAATTTGGGTACGTGGGAATTTGGAGATGTGAGAATTTGGATATGTAGAAATTAGGAGCTGTGGAAATTTGGGGGTGTTGGAATTTGAGTATGTGAGAATTTGAGTATGTGGATATTTGGGAATGTGGAAATTTGGGGGCGTGAGAATTTGAAGATGTGGGAATTTGGATATGTGGGAATTTGGATGTGTGAGAATTTGGACATGTGGGAATTTGGATGTGTGGGAATTTAGATGTGTGGGAATTTGGATGTGTGGGAATTTGGATATGTGGGAATTTGGATATGTGGGAATTTGGATGTGTGGGAATTTGGACATGTAAGAATTTGGATATGTGGGAATTTGGATATGTGGGAATTTGGACATGTGGGAATTTGGACATGTGGGAATTTGGATATGTGGGAATTTGGGGATGTGAGTATTTAAAGA